AAGAAATATAATGTAAGTTATAGCTTCCCAAGGAGAAACCAACTAAATTGTCCATGTCAAAATAAACAGTCTAAGACACTGTCTCCTCAACACCTCAGTAGGCTGAAGCTGAGAAACAACGGCGAATGCAGATACTGTGGGAAAACACCAGAACAACTTATATTAGTTATAAATGCCTTGCTGCTTGGACCATATAGATTAATCCTAATGATAATAACCCTAATTAAGAAATATATCCCTAATTAACTAATTAGTATACCGAAATACGTGTGGACCAAGCCGCGTTTTTCACATTTAAATAAGATTATAATTAATTAGTAATTAAAAATCAATTTTTCATTATTCCAGACCTAGTGGGGACTTGTCTAGATTATAAAATTATTCCTTTGATTAAGAAAATGCATTATTTTATCAACTACAAAGAAATCTGTGCCAGTTTAAGTTTGAGGCTTTGAATAAGAAGACTAAGGAAGGAGCATAATGCTATCCATGTATTCATGCATGGCGGGCGGAAAAAGCACTCTAGGGTGGGGATCCTTGACAGTTCTGTTTGACGATTCATTTGACATTTGAATTTGATTTGAAATTTTGTGGATTTGTCAGTCTTTACGTAGCTTATTTTATGTTATTTATTATTTATTCTATTACTGATAGTTATATAAAGGTAGTAAATCTAGATGAAAATTGTGGCAGAACTTAAATTAGCAGTGACACTATCGCGATTTATCGAAAAAGACTCTAAAATAGTTGGTTGTGTAGCGTGCGGTAGATCTCGGCAAAAATCGAGTGAAATAATGTACCAACTTTTCGCTAGTAAGAGACATATGATATACATACGTGTAGTAAACCGATAATTTATGAAATTCACTTAAATTAACTAATTATACATTTTTTCTTGCATTTTTGCTTTTATTTACTACTTGTCAAAGATTAGATGTCAAAGAATTTAGATACGTTAATTTGACTTACCTGCTTCAGTAGCGTATCGGATGTTTGTGTTAATAAATACTTATTATAACTTATCTATTTTTATTAGAATTATATATTTTTATAACAATTTTAATAACTACCAACATTTATTCACAACGTAAAATAAAACAACAAATTATTGAGTCTACCCCACGTCTACCCTACATCATAGTTTTACATTTTTTAAATAAAATTAGAACGACACTGATAAACCGGAATTTAAGTCGGCCATATTTGAGTCCCATCGCGGTGGACCTAAGATTTTTGATATGCTCCTTCCTTAGTCTTCTTATTCATGGGCGCCGGAAGAATGAAATTTAGGGGGGGGCAAGGTAAAAATGAATAAAAAATTGACATTTTTGGTAATTATTGGGAAAACTGGAAATCGTCCGATTTTCACCAAAATTGGTATACACCTTATTTTGAAGTCGTAGATTACGAATCTCAACGTTACGAATCTTTTTTCTTGGCGGTCTCTTACCGTTCTTCAGAAAACCGAAAAATAATTTCAATATCGAATTTTTCTTAATTTCTCATATTTTTAAGGTTTTCGATCTCATAATAGGTAATTTATTTAAAATCCGTAATCACCCGAAAAATAGAAGATTCTAGACCTAATCTAGAAATTTTCAAATTTCTAGATTAGGTCTAAAATATATTTGTCTCTCTTATTACATAGGAGAGAGAAAGAAGGATATATCAAATGTCAAACTTCCATCTGGTCTCAATTTTCTTTGCAATTTTGTTAAGAACAGTGTTTTCCAGTAAAATGTTGGACACTTTTCTATCCCCAATCAAGTGTGGCTTTTAGATAAAGTATAATATAATGAAAATATAGTGAAATTATTACTTTATAGGGCCGAAATAAAGAAAAATTCAATGTTGAAATAATTTTCCGTTTTTCTGAAAAACGGTAAGAGACCGCCAAGAAAAAAATAGATTCGTAATCTACGACCTCAAAATAGTGTGTATACCAATTTTGGTGAAAATCGGACGATTTCCAGTTTTCCCAATAATTACCACATTTTTTATTATTTTACAGGTAACACCTAACAATTTCATAATAATGATTATTTTTTTACAGATGGATGTAAGAAGATAGCTTATATTTTTATTGTTTTAGTGATCCAGGGGGGGGGGCAAATGCCATCTTCTTTTCTTCTTTTCAATTAGATGCTTTTTAGCATCTAATTAGAATCTACCGTGTGCGTCTCAAAAGTGGCTCACCCCTATCACTTTTTTATTTTTTCACATAAAAAAAAACGAGTTTTCGTATGTTAGTATATGACATAAATTAGGATTGATTGACGTATTCTATTGTTTTCGGTCACTTCCTGTTTCACCAGAAAAGAGTACAATTTTTGATTTTAAATGACACTCTCGGTATTTTTTTACTTTATTCGATAGACTTTTGCCTTTTTTGCATATTGTTTAATTGAACTTGTAACATGAGGTTCATATGGCATGAGGTTCATCAGGGCCGTTCCTGGCGAGCGTGCAGTGCGTTTTTGTGTCGTTTCCGGTGAAACAAGTGACTAAAAACAATTGAATATGTCAATCAATCCTAATTTATGTCATATACTAACATATCAAATGTCGTTTTTTTATCTGAAAAAAAGCCACTTTTGAGATGCACCCGGTATATCTCTTTTTAGAAAAACGATAAGATCAAATTACGTAAAACACTAAAAATTCGCTGACGATCACTTTTTTTCGAGGTTCCTTACTACGTCAAACTTTTAGAAAATGCAGTTTTTTGCCATGGAAAGCCCGAAAAAACTTAATCTCGTTTTTTTTTCTCCGAAAAAATAATGACAATTTCAAAATTAACATAAAGACATTAAAACAGAAAAAAATTAACGACATTTGTACTTCCAAAAAAATTATACTCTATCTACTATAACACTTTCACTGTAAAAAATAATTAACATAATATAATTATTGTTAAAATACTTATCGTGCGTGTATGGTTATTTTGTTTATTTTGTCATTTATTCTCGAAATGATTAATGAATAGCAACTACAGTTAAAAATAAATAATGAGAAAAATTTGCTATAAACAAGAATAATCGAATTAAAAATTAAGTTTTATTTTTAGATTAGTATACTGTTAGTGTTTTTTTTTGTTTGTTAATGTTTAATAAATAATGAATATATTAATTAATTATATTTTAGATTTGTAGATGTCATTTTTTAACGCTAATCGTATAAAAAATATTTAATCACACTGGAAACAAGCACGATTAATAATTTTTTTAAAATTATGTCAATATTAATTTTTAATTTTTTTATAGTGATAGGAAATTATATAATTACACTAGCGTGTACCCGCAACTTCGTTCGCGTCGAATTAATCATTTGTAATGGTGATGATAAAGTAAAGCAAGAATTTCCATAACATACAACCTGGATAAAATTTCCTCACATTTATGTCAGCATGAGAAAAAAAATATGGCGATATTATTATATAACTTGGTAATATTTGAAAGGTAGTTTCATCTCGTTGGAATTTGACTTTCGAAAAATCAGTTTGCCAAAAATAAGCTTTCGTCAAACAGTTTAAGCAGAATCGTGGTTAAGAAATTACCCAACTTTTTGGAACACCCGGTATGATTTTTGAAGAAATTTCAAAATATGTAAAAAAAAACAAAACAAATAAATTATGCTTGTCCAAGCATTTTCCCGAAAGACTTACCGTTTTTTAAATAACAAATATTGTAATATTTGAGGGGCGTTTTCACCCTCTTGGAATTTGAGATTAGAGAAACCCTTCCTCATCGAACCTCTACACCCCACAGTCAATCCGTTTGCCAAAAATCAGCTTTAAACGTCAAGCAGTTTAAGCAGAGTCGTGATTACTCAATGGTTATATTTTATGAAATACCCTGTATAAATTTATAAAAAATCTTAAAATATGTAAAACAACAAAATAAAATATACGTTTTTAAATAAAAAATATTTTAATATTTTAGGGATAGTTTCACCCCCTTAGAATTCGAGTTTTGAAAAATCCCTTCGTATCGAACCTCTACACCCTAAAGTCAATCTGTTTTCCAAAAATCAGCTTTTTACGTCAAGCGCTTTAAGCAGGATCGTGATTAATTAATGACCAGATTTTTCGAAACACCCTGTATACGTTTTTAAAAAATCTTAAAATATGTAAAAAAACAAAATAAAATATACGTGTTTAAGCGTTTTTTTCGGAAACTTGACCGTTTTTTAAATAAAAAATATTGTAATATTTGGGGTGGTTTCACCCTCTTGGAACTAGAATTTCGAAAAATTCCTTCATATCGAACCTCTACACCCTAGAATCAACCTGTATACCAAAATTGATTTATTTAAAGATTTTGCTATGTAAAGAGTTCCTCTATTAAAAATCTATTAGAAAAGTTCAAGACTTGCAAGAGTCTTCCGGTAAGACCAAGACCATTTGGTTTGGACCATTCATTTTTAAAATAGCCGTATCCTCTACATTTTATCTATGTTGCTATATTATCAAGATATTAATTTAAAAAACATTAAAAAAAATCGTGAAACACAAAAAAATCTCCAATTATTTTTCCTGGTTCAAAAAATTCCACCCCTATAAATGTTTACACTTATTTAAGACTCACCCTATAGAGAACAGAACTATAACCCCAGAAACACGCCTATGAGGTTTTTTTTCTCGAAAAAAAAAATAAAAATTCGGAATTTTGTATGTTTAATTTTTTGGAATTTTTTTTAGTTTTCAGTTAAAAAACATAATTTCTTGATAATATGGCAACATAGGTAGTAGATTAAATTTCCAAGAAAGACAATCCAGAAAAAATCCGGTGGTTCTCAAAATTTTAGAAAAAAATAATTTTTCTTTTGGAAATAACTCCGTTATTTTGGACTTATTTCAAAAACGATAAAGAGAAAATATATGTTTCTTTTATCGAGATCTACCACTCCTTAAAATACTTGCTCTTATTTCTGGGACACCCTGTATATATTTTTTTGTATATTTATATAAAAATAGTAAAAATAGAAAACATATAACTTACTTGCACTAATACCATATTTGATTTCCATCTTCATTTTGTAAATTTTTTCCCAAAAAAATTCTTCCAAATCACTCACAAAAAAACACGTATTCAACTCCAAAAATCAGTAACAATTTACAAAAAATCCGGGCACTAAAAATACATAAACCAAATAATAAAACAACTGTATCTGATCGATAAAAAAAGACTGATTAAGTAAGTCTTGAACCCATGCAGCCGCGACAGGGAGAGTTTTATTTAAATTATTTAACAATTCTTGTCTTTTAAAAGAGTTGGCGGTACGACCACGGTGGGAGAAACGGTACCAACCAATCAGGAGCTTCTTCGCACGTGCTACGCTGTCTACGATTATGCCGTGATGTATAGATACGTACTATCAGATAGACCAATAACTTAAGACTTTTTTTAAAAGAAAATATCAATTTTATTAAAACAAAATAAAACTGTAGTACTTCGATACAGTATGAATGGTTAACGCTAAAAAACATAACAAACTTTACCCAAAAAAAGCTTTCTTTTTATTTTTTAGAATATACAACAATTTTCTTATACAGGGTGAGTTTCCTACGATGTTCTCTATGGGTATCTTGGAAACTACTGGAGATAGAGAGTCGGTTAAATGGGGAAAGAATTGCAGTTTTATGGGGTCATAAATATGCGCCTTTCAGATTTAGGAAAAAGTTCATGGCTTACTTTAGAATTTAGAATGAGTGGGAGGGGGTTAATCACTTCGACCTTACAGATCCATTGTGTCCCCCTTTCTTGAATCCTAACTCATCATACAGTCCCAGGGCTTTGACAAAAGCCAGTATCTGGGACGGTTTTATAGAGGGTAGTTCTCCATCTCCAATATCAGTCGTACCAAAATTCATGGCACGAATGGTTGTCGTCTCGGCGCACTCAGTGATGAGGTGTACTGATGTTTCACCATCTTCCCCACAGAATCTGCATTCGCCGTTTCTTCTTAGTTTCAATCTACTGAGGTGTTCATTGAGGAGACAGTGTCCTGTTAAAACCCCGTGACAATCCGAAGATTGTTCTTACTCAGACCCAGGAAGATCTGTGATTTTTCTTGATCATAAGCCCTCAGAAACTTCTTCGAGTGTCTTAGACCATTGCAAGATTCGCTCTTTCCTAGCTAGATTATTTGCTTTTTCATTGCCTTCTATCCCTTGGTGAGCAGGCACCCAGTGTAGGGTGACTTTGTTTTCTTTGCCTAATTTATTCAGCTTCTCTATGCATTCTTTGACCAATTTCGAATTGATTGATACTGAGTTGATCGCCTTTAACGCTGCTTGACTATCAGATAAGATGGCTATTTCTTGTTTCCGATAGTTCCTATCTAAGATAAGTTTACGCATCTCTCGATAGCGTAGATTTCTGCCTCCAGGATACTAGGTGTGTTTGTGTACCAGGCAACTGCTCCATAAGTAATCATGGGTCTTACTATCATGGTATACATCCAGCGCAAAATGTTAGGGGAGCAGCCCCATCTATTTCCGGCCAGTCTTCTGCATATCATGAGAGCCTTTATGGCTTTGCTGGTAGTGTTCTTAATATGCCTGTTCCACAGGAGTTTACTGTCCAGGGTTATTCCCAGGTATTTCCTGTGTTGGCATGATATTCCTTCCATCTAGTTGGATTCTTTTCCAAGTTTTTCAGACTTCGCCTTCTGGTGAATGGCACTATCGCGGTTTTGTCTGAGTTGAATCAGCCCGACAGTCCCACACCATCTCTCAGTGATACGGAGTCCTCTTTGGATAATATCACACAAGGTGCCTTCATGTTTCCCCCGAGCGATCATGACTATGTCATCTGCATACCCAATGCAGTGTATTCCCTGCTAGAGTTAATTCATCTAGTAGTTCATCCACCACCAAGCTCCACAGCAAAGGGGAGGTTACTCCACCTTGTGGAGTTCCTTGCGTTGTTTTAACAGCTACAGTTTTGGTGCCCATCTGAGCCTCTGCTGTTCGTGTTGACAGCATTTCCCAAAACCAGCGAATAATAGTTCTGTTCACCCCTCTTGTTTCTAGAGATCGCCTGACCACCTTATGTGGTATATTGTCAAACGCTCCCCCAATATCCAAGAAGGCACAAATTGCTGTTTCTTTGCTATCCAGACTTGTCTGTATTAGCTCCGTTAATTGGTACAGAGCAGTTTCTGTTTCTATATGCATGCTGACTATCATGCAGTGGTTTAACCTTTAGATGATTTTCTCCAATATGGTTGTTGAAATGTATGAAACTACTTTCTCCAGCGTTTTTAGTATGAACGATGTGAGACTAATAGGCCTAAATGACTTGGGATTTGTCCAGTCAGTTTTTGCCTATTTTGGGTATGAAGATTACTTTTGCTCTTCTCCATGTGGTTGGTATATATCATGTAAGTTCATGGCTTACTAGATATTTTGAAAAAACAAATTTCGGCTATTTTGAAAATTGTCCCTAATTCCATTATAAGCTATTTTAGACAAAAATTTTTTTCAGATAAAAGTTGTAGATAATCACATCCTTAATGAGATACTGAGTTATAGCCAATTCTTATCATTTTTAAACAATTTCACTTAGTTAGCCATGGAAACAAGTTCAATCGCCGTTACTCTCAGAAATGTGAAGCTGTCACATTCAAACTTTGTAAATTAAATAAACAAAAATTGTAAATATGAATTTGTCAAATGAAGAAAAGCGTGTAGATACTCGCGCATCAATAGAGTGTTTCCAAAATGACTTTCATTATGCCCCCCCCCCCCGCATAATGAAAGAAATGTTAAAAATTATTGATATCATAATAATATAAACTCAGGGATACTACAGACTAATTGCATGGGCCTCCTCGATCACCTGACCTATCCATTTTAGATTTTTTTATGCGGTATGGTTAAAAATAAGATTTACAAAAGAACTTATGAATTAAGAGAGGCACTCGAAGTGGCGGTACGAGAGAAGTTTAATTAAGTCAACCGGTCCTTTTGTGAGAATAGGTAATAATTCAGTTTTAAAAAGATGTAACTCAAAACAATGGCGAATTTTTAGAACATTTTCTAAAATAACTTAAAGTGTATGCAGTGACTGCAGCGATATTATATTTTTAAGTTTTAGTTTGTGTAATGTAAGTTCTAAAGAACCGTTTAGTAATATATTCTGACTTTTTATAAGTTATAAATCACAAAAGAATAAGAATGCCATGCAATCTAAGTGAAATTAGTCAAGAAAGATAAGAATTGGCCATAACTAAATTTAACTTTTCTAACAAGTCTTGAAAATCTTTCTGTAAAAAACATAACATTCACCGGTCAACGTATCCTCGAAAATGTATGGTCAAGAAAAGTTGAACCAATAATCTTACACGCTTTTCTTCATTTGAAAAATTCATATTTACAATTTTTGTTTACTTTAATTTACAAAGTTTGGATGTGGCAGTTTAATATTTATAAGAGCAAAGACGATTGTTTCCATGGCTAACTAAGTGAAATTATTTAAAAATGATAAGAATTGGCTATAACTCGATAATTTTTCGAAGAAAACATATTATAGCTTATATCGCTGAAAAGCTTAAAAAATGGCACTTTTTATAAAGTCATGGCCAACTATGGTTTCCATTTAAAAAAACATATGTTTGTGTCAAATTTCAAAAATGACAGGCTTTAGAAAGAAACGGAGGACACAAAAGTGATTATCTACAACTTTTATCTGAAAACTTTTTGTCTAAAATAGCTTATAATGGAATTAGAGACAATTTTTAAAATAGCCGAAATTTGTTTTTTTTCTAAATATCTAGTAAGCCATGAACTTTTTCAAAAATCTGAAAGCCGCATATTTATGACCCCACAAAACTGCAATTATTCTTTCCCCGTTTAACCGACTCTCTATCTCCAGTAGTATCCGAGATACCCATAGAGAACATCGTAGGAAACTCACCCTGTATATTAGAGGCCCAGTATATTACTGCTGAATAAAAATCGATAATTTATTTCATTTGACATGAAAATAAAATTTGTATATTTTTTTTTAAACTCGCGCCTTCACGTCAAATATTTATCTCTTTTCAATCATTTCCTGTTCAAATTTTAGGTTTTTGCTACAGCAGCGCCATCTTAAGTCTTCCCTTTTTTATGACCATTTTTGATGCACGAGGATATTTCTCCTTACCTCTATACTCTGTAATCAAGATTTCACTTGCTAAATTTTTAAAATTGTCATGGTAACGAAATTATTGAAATGAAACAATTATAATAGAATTATTATCTTTTAAATAGTTTTATTGAAGAAATCAGGAAGCTTAGGTATAGGAACATGATATTAAATCGTTAATAAGCAATTTTATTTGTGTTTCCATTTTTTAAATAGTATACATAGGCTTGAATTTATAATAACAAAGATTTGGGCAATTTTATAACAAACGGAAATATATGTTTTCTGCTCTTCCTGTGGAATATCCCATCGATTGATTTAGACAGATCGAACACAATATGATTAATATTAAATTAATTAAAGCAATATATATGATAGAAAAAATATATTTTATCAATTATAATTAAACAATTTAAAGGGTTTTTCCTTAATTCTTTCATTGAACTTTGGATGCATATGTTCATTAATAATTGAACAAAACAAGGACAGTACCTGCGTTGTTTACTTTCCTGAATTTATGTAATATATAAATCAGCACTTTTACTTAGCATTGGTCCAGACAGGTGACATATGATCATATGCTTAAAAGGTTTTTACGAGAATTTTTCATAACAACAATGATGGGTAGAAATTTTCAAGCATAGTTTTTATATGTTCTAAAAATCAAAACTTTGGTAGATGGTTATTATTAATTTTGATTAAAGCGTAATTTTTTAGCTATTTTAAAATGTTAAATAAGCACATACCGGGTGTTGCATCGTCGAGCGGGACATAGGAAATTATTGGCTTCCCTAATTATTTTAGAGAATAATTCTATTTAGGTTTATTGAATAGCACTGAAACCCACATTCAAAAGAATAACTTTAGATATTTTTGATTAGCCCGTTTACGAGTTATCGCCGATTTCTTTTTAAATATTTCTCCTTTCTTATGGCCCTGTATTTACTTATGAGCACCAGTCAAGGTAAAAGATAACTGCCAAATGAAGTTGTCATTTCAGAAATTTACCTATTTAGTGCTTTATTATTAGTATTAAAAACTCATACCGATATCGAAAATATTAGCCCTGAATTACACTACGAAGAA